CCTTTTTAAGGATTTTGTCCTCAGAATCAGAAACATACCTGTCTCGGAAGTCGGGATACTGCCGGAGAAACTCTTCCTCTCGCTCCCAGGTACACTCCTCATGAGTTCTTCCTGTCCACTGCACTTTGACCATCAGAATGATCTTGCTCCTCAGCTGCTTCTCGCTGTGATCGAGAATCTTGAGTGGTCCGACGGGAGTCTTTAGGTTCTCCCGAACCTCCACATCATCAGGTTGCACCACGTGCGAAGGATCCGCTACATACTTGCGAAGCTGAGACACGTGAAACACGTCATGGATGTTGGCCAAGTTCAGAGGCAAGGCAAGCCGGTAGGCAACAGGTCCTACTTTACCAAGAATCTAGTTTGGCCCAATGAATCGCGGGCTCAGCTTCCTCACTCCGATGGCCCGAACAACACCGGTGACAGGTGAAAGTCTCACAAACACGTGCTCACCCTCACTAAACTCCAGTGGACGATGCTTAACATCATAATAACTCTTTTGGCGATTCTGCGCCTGCTTCAGCTTTTTCCGAATCAACTGAATCTGCTGGGTAGTATCTTGGATAAAATCCAAGCCAAACAACTCCTTATCTCCAACCTCAGACCAGCAGGTAGGAGTCCGACACCTCCTACCATACAACTCCTCGTAGGGTGCCATGCCCAGGCTAGCATGGAAACTGTTGTTGTAAGAAAACTCAATCAAAGGCAAGTACCTATCCCATGCTGAACCCTGCTCCAAAGTGCAAGCCCTCAACATGTCCTCCAATGTCTGGATGGTCCGCTCAGTCTGAGGGTGATAGGATGTACTCAGTCTCAACTGCGTACCAAAAGCCTCCTGCAGCGCCTCCCAGAACCGAGATGTGAACTTCGGGTCCCTATCACTAATGATACTCTCGGGCACCCCGTGAAGTCTCACAATCTCGCGAACTTATAGTCTGGCCAACTGCTCAGTAGTGAAGCTCACCTTCACCGGAAGAAAGTGGGCAGACTTGGTCAATATTTCCACAATGACCCAGATAGAGTCGCAACCAGCCTGAGTCTTCGGCAATCCCACCATGAAGTCCATGGAAATGCTATCCCATTTCCATTTCGGAATCTCAAGAGGTTAAAGTTTACCAGAAGGCTTCTGGTGTTCTATCTTTACCTTCTGACATATCAGACACTTAGACACAAACACAACTATGTCCTTCATGCCCGGCCACCAATAATTTCTCTTCAAATCCTGGTACATCTTTGTAGCACCAGGGTGGACAGTAAATTGGCCCTTATGAGCCTCTGTCATCACTTCAACAGTCAACGGACCTCGAGGAACCACAATCCTCTTCTGAAAGGTCAACAGTCCATCCTCATTCCAAGACACACCGTCTTGGTTCTTCACGTAATCCAGGCACTCTCCCTGCTCTTGCGTATCTTGGATCTTCTCCATAAGCTCATTCTCGACTCTCACAGTCTACACATCGAGAAGTGCACCCCCAACAAGGAAGTCACTATCAAATCTCGAAACTTCGCAATCACAACAAAATCGTCATTCGATTCACTGGGATCGCCAGTCACTCTATCCATAGAGGTAACCTGACCCCACAAAATCTAATCCACACAAGGCTTGAGTGAGTTTGGTCTTATTCCATGACTCTAACATCAACTTGACTTACAATTTTTGTAAATCATAATTCTCAAAATAAATTCATATACCTTTCACAGCACGAAATCATAATCATGTTCATTTCTACAAATACATGTTAGTTAACATGCTCATTCACGTAGTAACGTACCTTATTTCACGTACACCTGCAAAATTTTCAATTTCAATAACATAATAATTCAAAAAAACTCTATGCAACGGTATACCTCAATCTCCATGGTATCTGCAAAATCAAGAGTCAATTAAAGATGAAATAACATCGATGCATTACCACGATTTATCATACTTATTTCATGTTTAGCACTACCCATGGTATCAACAGGCCAACTACATATGAAACATATATTAATAACATATAAACCTAGAGTCTTGGAGACCACTCAACTCACAAAACTACTTGTACATGCACAAGTCTCACATATACAAGATCGCGTGTGACCTTGCCACAAAGTTCAAGTGTTACACACTTACTTTTCCTTGAAGAGAATTTCACATTCTCCAACAAAGCACCATCACAATTTAGTAGTGGCGTAAGGCATCTTACCTTTAATAAAATGACCGGCGCTCCCCAAGGAGACACGCTCGGTCGAAAGAAGTCTTTCGCCAAAAGATCTTCAATGAGCTTCTTCAGCTCCGCCAACTCAGGTGGTGACAACCGATATGGAGCTAATGAAATAGACCCCACACTAGGCAACAAATCTATGGAGAACTCTATCTCCCGCTGTGGCGGTAACTCGTGAACCTCCTCAGGAAACGCCTCGAGGAATTCCCCCACCACAGGAATGCCAGTGGTATCCTCCTGTATCCTACTCACCAAACCTCCCCACAACACATCACCAATGTCCCTACTCACAAGGCTCTTCTAGCCTGCAGCACAAAATAAAAGGCGAGGGACTGGCTCTGGAATCACACGGAGACACCATCGCTCGCTAGACACAACAGTCAAACATCGCACAATTTCTGGACAACCAATCCAGGCCCAGAATGATTTTCAAATTATCCATCGGCAGTCCAATCAGACCTACCGAGTAATCACGGCCATCCCACTGAAACACGACATATCGATGAACAGTGGTAGTATCAAACTTTTCTCCGGTGGCGGTAATCATCCGCAACGGTGGAGAAAGCACAGCAATGGGAAACTCAAGCCCCACAACAATCGGGGTAGCAATAAAGGAATGCGTAGCCCCGGAGTCAGAAAATGCATTAACAAAAGATCCACCAATAGAAACAGTACCTCTGACAAGGTTCGAAGCTCGGTCCGTCTGCTGACTATCCGACGTATAAACTCGGCCGGTCTCTGGTGGTGCAGAAATCATCTGGAATGGTACCACATGAGCAACAGCAGCACAAGCGACATGTGTAAGACAGTCTCTGGAGTAGTGACCCTTCTTGCCACACTTGAAACATATCAGCTCACCCGAAGCACAACGTCCCAAATGTTCCTTCTCGCAACCCGTACACTTCAGGATAGTTGAAGATCCAGCAAAGTTGCCTGCTTAAGTAGTAAGCCTCTTAAATTTGTTGCACAGTTGCTTGACCTGTAGATGCTTCCCTTCACCTTTGCCTCTAAACTTCCTGTCCCTCCAAGAAGTGGAACTACTGGTCCCCTTAGCCTCAGATTCTTTGACTCTCTTTGCCTCGTGGTTCATACGAATATTCTCGAAGTCCTTAGATGTCGATCCAGTTATCCCCTCAACACGACATACTGAAACATTTTGTATTCCTGTAGCTCGCTCCGCCTTGGAAGAGCGCCTCTGGATAAGATGACCTGGCTCGCCACATCTGAAACATACTTTTCGTCCTTGCCAACAAGCACCCTTATGAGTCTTTCCACACGGGATGCACTCAAGCAGCGAGGATTTATTCCCAACTAGCATCCCTCTAGCTCCACTCCCACACCGCTGTGAGAATGGAGGTGGTGGAAGCAAAGGATGTTGGCCGTCAAGACAACCAATTCTCAACTCCTCCAGTATGACCCATACCATGGTCATATACGCCAGTCGATTCGCCTCCAAAACATCTTCAATGACTTTCCGGTTCGCCTCTCGAACGGCGTCCATCATCGCCATGTTGGCCAATCTAGTGGCCTCCTGATCGGCTATCCTAGCCGCCTACATCTCAGCTAATGCAGTCAGGACAGGATCCGGCTGATCCTCAGTGGTCTCGCGGTTTCTCCTAGGTATTACCATGACTCTGCACAAGTTACACAAAGAATGAGTTGATCAGGCCCATGCAATGTGGTCACACATGCATCATCATAGCAAAACCCATCAGAGGAAACACACAAAACAGACTCGCAACCAAACATCCTAAGTTATTGCAATACATACACGCTTTTTCCTAGAAAGTTCTCTGATACCATAAAATGTAAAACCCCGTGTATACCCGGTTTGTTAACATGTCATCGTATTAAGCCACGCTTAATAAAATATGCGGAATTTCTTTTTACTTTCAATTATGACGTCATTAATATTACAAAGTTAATTACTTAATTCTTTTCATAAAACATCGCCTGTATATAATTGCAAATAAACAGCTATCTACACTGAAATAACCTCAATATATAAATAAAAGTGAGTATCTAAGTCACGGAACTACAACACATAGACCGGACCATAATCCTGATACATTAATACAACTCAAATCTAAGGTAGGACATAGTCAATTAATGTGGCATGGACAATCCCCATGCTCACCAAATAAGGCAACAAGCCCAGCAAGTCTCAACAACAACAACATAATAGTAAAGCTAAAGACATAATAGCAACAGGCATATCCAGCATCTCAGCACAATCAGCATAACAGATAAATATCAATCAACTAAGCTCCGGCCTCCTGCCGCTAGAGGTCTCAACCCCCGCATTACCTGAACCTGAAATAAGCGCCCCAAACGTGGGGTGAGATCTCTAAACAGAAATCTCAGTAAGACAAGGGGTCCTCAAGCACCTTTCCGGTACGCGCTTTTACATAGCCAGTATCAGTTCTGGCACCAGTTCTCATTATTTTGACCTGAAGGTATCTCTCAGTATCAATTCTTAACTGTGCTTGAAAAGATATTCTGCAAAAGAAGGGTATATCTTGGTTGAATTTTTTGTGATTATAATAGAGATTCATTTATGGTGTTTTATTTTGGGGTTTAAAGAAATACATTATATTGCTGCAAGGAAAAAACTGAGTGATGTTGATGATATTATTTTGTTCCAAAACCAATTCAATATTGAAATATCTAACTGCAATACTTTTGATTGTGCAGCTTCGTGCTATCATTGGCAGATATGGATCCAAACCTTATGATGGAGGATGAAAGTATTGTGTGGACAAGCAATGTTGCTGTAATCGTACTTGAGCATAAAAATGAAGAGATTCTTTTAAGGTGAATGAATATCTGAATATCCAGTTCTTAAAGTTGAAGATATGTATCAATTATTATAGACATTTTGACGTGTAGATGATAGAAAGGAATAAAGGGTTGAACTTTGCTTATTATGAGTAATTTCTATGAATAGGCTATATATATATATACACGTTTCATTGTTTAATCCCAAACCGTTATCACTGCACACACTGATTGAATTTTTTTTTACGGTTTTTGTTTGAATTTCTACTCACCCCTTTGGCTGTATTTGTGTTTGAAAATTTGATTCATCTGTTTCTCTGATTGCTTTTTGGTGCATTTGATATGGATCTGTACAATGGATGCAGCTATCAGCATACTAAATATCACTAAGGTAAGTCCACTTGTCATGAATATTTTCATTGTGTTGATTTATTGGTACGAATATTTGAACAATGATTGGTCCAACGATGTTGATTGAGCTTCAATTTTAGAAGGCTATGTTACTTAGCCAACTTTTAGATGCAATAATTCAATGTACATTAGGCTAGTTACATCCATATGACACATGTTCTAGGAACAATAAATAGATGTCATCTTTTCGTCTTTTCTAAATTCTTAATCAACGTATTTACATGTATAACTGGTTGGGAATGCATTTAGTGATAAATGATGTGAAGATATAAATTGTTGATCTTATGCTGAAATTCTTTTTATCCTTTTTAACTGATTTCTCTTACTTGGCTGGCAATGTTTCTGATCAAATGGAAGAGGTTATGAGCGTGCTTGTTCATCAACTCATATGGTCTTATCAAACTATTCCAGTCCCTTTATTCATATCTCTATTAAATCTTATAAATGCATTTTAGGAATTTCATAAGTTTATATTTACTATCAATGATTGACAGACACAACCATTGGTGGGATAAAATTTAATTTTACAGTTCACCTTTCTTTCAAGAAAAGGTGCCTTTAAAGTGGCAGTTAAATCTTTTCATATTGAGATGCTTTCGAAAATGAGCCCTGAAGAAGTTTGTCTTAATAGGCTTGCACATAAACTTAATTTGGTGATACATAATCATGCAAATGTTTAGGAAAAAAGAAACTATAGGTTTCATTATATAACTAATGCCTTTGTTCATCAAATGAGGAAACTTCATTCAGTTGTTTCAAAAAATTGTTAACTGAATTTAGTTGTTTGCATCTTTAATTTCCAGAGCATGTCTTAATACTTGGTGATATATTAAATTGAAAATGCTTCTTAAAATTTTTTATTTAATTTCTAGTGTCATGTCCTAACTGACTTGTCTTTTTTATTTATATTTTTTATGATGTATATGAGTTTAGATGTTACATCTAAATGATAAATGAGTTTAGATGTAACATTTAATATTCGGTTGATCATTATCGTTGCCATTATCCTTTTAGTTTTACGGTCTTTTCCTAATTAGTTTTGTTGGTTACATCTATAACGTTCTTTATTGAATATTTCTTCGTATTCTAGTTTGACAATAATTGCAAATTATTTATTAAATTAATGGTAATGTCAGATTTTTCCAAAATCTGATTCCCTTTTATTTGTACAACATGGCTACTAGACCTTTTCATTGCTGTAATTCCCTATTCTTATGCTTCTTATATCATATGAACAATCTATCAAGGTTTTTAACTAACATTCATTGTTTTTGTGGCAAAGATTTACACATAAATGAGGCACTACAGATGCAGATAAGAGGTGCTGAGAAGGCTAAATGAACAGCTTGAGGTGTGTGATATGAACTTACTATGCATGCATTTTTAATCTCATTAACCAAAATACTGATACAAACTAATGATATAAATCTTTAACCTTTTTTACACCTCTAAAAAATATCCAGGTGCAAAGACTCCTACAGCTTTGGATAGAGGATCAAGGAAAATACCTGTTGGCAGTGCAAGAGAAAGCTCAGAAAACATTTGGTAGACAGAACTTGGGAATAGTAGGACTTGAACCTTAAAATCAGTATCCATGTGTATGAAGAAGAGGCTTTTGATTCGAAGTCTGCAAAACTTATTACTCATAGGTTTGAGTACTGGGTGACGTTGAATATTGTATGTGTTGGAATAGAAAGATTGTGTATTGATGTGAAGTTAAAAAAAAACTAGAGAAAATGTTTCATTGAATTATGAAGTTAGTTTTACATTGTGTATTGATATGTTCATTTTTATTTGTTAATTTGTTAAGTTTACGATACATATTTATTGTACAACGCTCGTTAATTGTATAAGCCTTTTTTAATACTTAGTCTAATATATGATATGGACTTTTGTGCATTTAATGTATTGATTAAGGAGATTTGATTTTCATATTTTGTTTACTTTGATTATATTTTTTTATCAGGTGCAGTACAAAAAATTGGTATTAACTTTGTAGAGAGAAATTTTTAAAAAAAAAATCTGAAATTTTTCGACGGAATTTGTTTTCTGTCAAAAACCATTACAACAATTTTCGACGGAATTTCATTGATTTTTTTTATGTAAATTTTCGACGGAATTCGTTTTCTGTCGAAAATCTTTACATTAGATTTTGACGGAATTCATTTTTCGTTCAAAACCATTACAACAATTTTTGACGGAATTCCATTGATTTTTCGTCGAAATTTTTTGAGGGAATTTTTTTTTCGTCGAAAAACTTTACATCAGTTTTTGACGGAAATTCATTGATTTTTCGTTGAAAACTTTCATTTTCTGTCGAAAACCATTACAACAATTTTTGACGGAATTTGTTTTCTGTCGAAAACCATTACAACAATTTTCGACGGAATTTCATTGATTTATTTATGTAAATTTTCGACGGAATTCATTTTCTGTCGAAAATCTTTACATTAGATTTTGACGGAATTCATTTTTCGTTGAAAACCATTACAACAATTTTCGAAGGAATTCCATTGATTTTTCGTCGAAAATTTTTGACAGAATTTATTTTTCGTCGAAAATCTTTACATCAGTTTTCGACGAAAATTCATTGATTTTTCGTTGAAAACTTTCAACGGATTACGTTTTTCGTCGAAAAAAATCACAATAATTTCAACGGAATTGCATTGGTTTTTCGTCGAAAGTTTTGGACGAAAATAAATTCCGTCGAAAAATTTGTTATCAACGAAGAGAAATTCGACGGTCTGAATTCTATCGAAAACTTCATTTTCGACGGAATTTTTTCGTCGAAAAAATGGACTTTTCTAGTAGTGAGAAATAATTCCATTATTGATGTTGAATAAATATGGGAAGAAGTAAATAATTATCACAAGGGTTTAATAACGCTGAAAGTCGCTTTTTTGAAAAAAAAGCAGAAACCGATTCTGCTTCACGGTATAAATGCGTACCGGTGAAGTTTCCCGAAAAATTATAATAAGTGCATGAATATCCCTAAAAAAATATCTAGGTCAAGTATATCAAGTTTGGAGTAAGAATAATGAGAATTGATGTCAGAACTTTTGCCGGCTACGTATAAAATGCGTACCAAAAAAGTACTGCGAAATTTATAATAAAAATATGATAATTCCTAAAAATAATGGCTAGGTTCAGAATATGAAGTTTGAGATTAAAATGATTAATGGAGCTATTAGAGCTAATACCGACAGATTAAGCTAAGTGCACCTATATATATTGATGGCACGTTAACCTAGGTCAGATTACTACATTCCTACGTGCTACTCAGCAGCTGCCTTTGTTCTCCAAGCTTGTCACCTTCCTCACTTCCTCTTGAGAACCCCAAGTGATCATCTTTTTCCAAGTTTTTTTTTCACCAAATCACCATAGTTTTTTCTGAGTTGCAGCTACTGTTTGGTGAGGGTTGTAAGCTGAGTTCATTGGTTAGTGGTGAGGGAGCCATGTCCTTGGCATTTGAAGCTTGAAGAAGCTATTTTCTTGTGTAAAAGACCAAGCCTGTGAGACAAATTCGTGGTTTTGTGAAGTCAGAGTTGTAGAGCTGAGTAGAGAGCTCCAATATCATCATTTTATTCTGTTTTGTGCCTTTGGGTATGCACCACTCCCTTTGTTCTTGAATTTTTATATGAAGAATGAACCTTGATGCATGTAATAAGTGAAAGTTAATAACTTAAGTGTTAGTAAGGTATAACACACCTAATAATGCATGCTTGAACGTCTGGAAACGTGAAAAATTTTCCAAGTTTTTTTTTCACCAAATCACCATAGTTTTTTCTGAGTTGCAGCTACTGTTTGGTGAGGGTTGTAAGCTGAGTTCATTGGTTAGTGGTGAGGGAGCCATTTCCTTGGCATTTGAAGCTTGAAGAAGCTATTTTCTTGTGTAAAAGACCAAGCCTGTGAGACAAATTCGTGGTTTTGTGAAGTCAGAGTTGTAGAGCTGAGTAGAGAGCTCCAATATCATCATTTTATTCTGTTTTGTGCCTTTGGGTATGCACCACTCCCTTTGTTCTTGAATTTTTATATGAAGAATGAACCTTGATGCATGTAATAAGTGAAAGTTAATAACTTAAGTGTTAGTAAGGTATAACACACCTAATAATGCATGCTTGAACGTCTGGAAACGTGAAAAATTTTCCAAGTTTTTTTCTCTCCAAATCACCATAGTTTTTTCTGAGTTGCAGCTACTGTTTGGTGAGGGTTGTAAGCTGAGTTCATTGGTTAGTGGTGAGGGAGCCATTTCCTTGGCATTTGAAGCTTGAAGAAGCTATTTTCTTGTGTAAAAGACCAAGCCTGTGAGACAAATTCGTGGTTTTGTGAAGTCAGAGTTGTAGAGCTGAGTAGAGAGCTCCAATATCATCATTTTATTCTGTTTTGTGCCTTTGGGTATGCACCACTCCCTTTGTTCTTGAATTTTTATATGAAGAATGAACCTTGATGCATGTAATAAGTGAAAGTTAATAACTTAAGTGTTAGTAAGGTATAACACACCTAATAATGCATGCTTGAACGTCTGGAAACGTGAAAAATTTTCCAAGTTTTTTTTTCACCAAATCACCATAGTTTTTTCTGAGTTGCAGCTACTGTTTGGTGAGGGTTGTAAGCTGAGTTCATTGGTTAGTGGTGAGGGAGCCATTTCCTTGGCATTTGAAGCTTGAAGAAGCTATTTTCTTGTGTAAAAGACCAAGCCTGTGAGACAAATTCGTGGTTTTGTGAAGTCAGAGTTGTAGAGCTGAGTAGAGAGCTCCAATATCATCATTTTATTCTGTTTTGTGCCTTTGGGTATGCACCACTCCCTTTGTTCTTGAATTTTTATATGAAGAATGAACCTTGATGCATGTAATAAGTGAAAGTTAATAACTTAAGTGTTAGTAAGGTATAACACACCTAATAATGCATGCTTGAACGTCTGGAAACGTGAAAAATGGAGTCTTGGAAGGATATTTTTGAGAAATGCAAGAACTGCATTCTGTCGTGAAATATTCGGATATGATATCCGTATATTGATATCATGATATGGATATCCGAATATGAGGTTTGTGATATCCGGATATGATATCCGGATATGTCCCCGTGAAATATCCAGATATTCTGGGAATTGTGTTATGAACTGTTTTGTCCAAACAGAAATGTAGATTGGGTTCTGGACCCTTAATTGGTTTTTATGAACCTCTGTAATAAGATAACTAAGTCAGAACCGCTTAGATTAAAGGCTTATGGATTTGGGAGAAGCCTAAGGACATTAAACGAAAAAGAAAACGTTGTCGTAATGTAACAAACTTCTAGATTATGTATATTGATAATTTTTCTAGAATAAACAGACTTTGATTGTGCAGTTTGGTGACCGTGGACTGGTGTGGACTCTTAATTGGGACTGTTAGCTTAACAGGTAAGCTTTCGTGTCCTCGGTTTTGCCTATTGTTGGTTTCACCATACCTCATGGAGGGATGATTTATATGCATGATGTGTTTTCTGAAATATGTGCTGAATATTAATATGCTACTGAGCTGTTTTATGAGTGCAAATGCCATATGATATACGTGGGGTGTTCCACCTGGACGGTAATCCCTAAGTATGTGGCGACATACAAGATGATAACTTCGTGGTGAGGTACAAGAGTAATGTGGGTTGTAGACGTACATAATTCCTAACTTTTATTCTCTGGCCAGTAGAATGCGTACACACATGACTTGGATATATGATGTATTGCACAGATTTTGAAATTATACTGTTTTATCTTTTGGGACTTATATTGCACATGTAAGTGAGCTTGGGGTGGAGAGATCCTTGAGGATCCCTTGTCTTACTGAGATTTCTTTTTAGAGATCTCACCCCGTGTGGGGCACATTTTCAGGTATAGGTACCTTTGAGGTTGAGACCTCTGGCGGCAGGAGGATGGAGTTGAGCTGATTTATGCATGCTGCTTTACTGATATATTTGGATTACGTTATGCCTTGTTATTTGATGGCTATTGTATTTGAGACTTGGTTTGATGTTTTATTTGGTGAGCATGGGGGTTGTCCATGCGACATGGATATAAGTTACGTTTATTCCAGACTTGAGTTGTATGTTGTATCAGGATATTGTCTGGTCTACACGTTGTAGTTCCGTGACTAGATACATATATATTTGATGAGGTATTTCAGAGTAATTATTTATTGCAATTTACATACAGGCGATATTTTGAAAATGAGTAAGTAAATCCACTTAGTTAATAATGAATGGTTTCATAATTGGAACACGGGGTGCACACAGGTGTTACATTTTATGGTATCAAAGCACTTTCTAGGGAAAAAGCCTGTATGTATTGCAATAACTTAGGATGCCTTGTTGTTTGAACTGTCTTGTGAGTTTCTTTTAGGTTTTGCTATGATAATGCATGCGTGACCGCATTGTGTGGGCCTGGTCAACTCATCCTTTGTTATGGTACTTCCTAGGAGGACTCGAAAGACGAATGAGGGTCAACTTGACCCGATCCTGAATGCATTAGCTGAGATGCAGGCGGCTAGACAAGCCGATCTGGAGGCCATTAGAGTGACCAATCAGGCTATGATGGACGCCGTGAGAGAGGCGAATATGAAAGCAACCGAAGACGTGCTTGAGGCGAATAGGT